ACCCCCAAACCAGTCTTACTCTAACACAACTCTGTTTTGCACTTGTACCAAATACTTCTGCGTGTCAGCAGTTGGCTATTTCTCTGTTTTCGTAATCAGTAATTAAATTAATAATAAACTTCTCTCACATGGTATCTATTCTTGGGCAAAGAAATGCATGTCAGGAATTTCCCTACCTGCTACCTGTATATTGAAGAGAATTTAATTTATATTGTCTGTAGACATATCTCTTTTTAATGTACACTCCCTGAAGGAGTACAGGAAATCAGTTATATAAGACACATAGAGATGAGACTAATCGATAACATACTAACACTGAATAGTATTAAGGGAGTAACCATATTAAAGTAAACAATTATGGAAGCTCCAAGGCATTAGTTATAGATATGGAGATAACAATTGGCACTTATTTACAGCCATATTAACCAGTTGAACAACACACCAAACTCTCCCTCCTGCCTCAGGAAACAAGATTGTCTGTAGCAATGTCATTTTAATAGGCTTCTATCATTGTTTCATCATGGCTTCTACTGACAGGCCTATTGTTAGGTGCAACCCCTCACTATAAGAGGCAAGAGTGTGTACTGTTAATATTGACTAAGTCTGACTTGGCCACAGTAGTCCACGCTCTGGTTACATCCCGTTTAGACTACTGCAACGCTCTCTACATGGGATTGCCTTTGAAGACGGCTCAGAAGCTCCAATAGTCCAACGCTCGGCAGCCATGATTTTAACAGGAGCGGAGCGCAGGGAGCATACAACCCCCCTGTTGCGCCAACTCCACTGGCTACCGATCTGCTACCGGGCTGAATTCAAAGTGCTGACGTTGGCCTTTAAAGCCCTAAACGGTTCCGGCCCAAGCTACCTATCTGACCGCATCTCTGCCTATGAACCCACCAGGACTTTGAGATCTTCCGGGGAGACCCTGCTCTCGATCCCGCCTGCGTCTCAAGCTCGGCTGGCGGGGACGAGAGATAGGGCCTTCTCGGTGGTGGCTCCTCGGCTGTGGAACGCCCTTCCTACGGACATTAGACTAGCACCATCTCTAATGGTATTCCGCAAAAAGGTGAAGACCTGGATGTTTGTGCAGGCGTTTGAGTAATTTAGTGCAATCTGGTAAGGGAACATAGGAATGGAACAATGGACGACGAACCTGGACTACGCTTGGATGATGAGAAGATTGGGTACGGTTTTTTGTAATAATTGTGCATTGTAATTGCTTATTGGTAATTTATGGATAATGTGTTAAGTCAATTGTTATATGTTGTATGGAACCACTGCTGTTTCTACTGTTTTTACTGTTTGTGAACCGCTGTGAGTCGCCTTCGGGCTTGAGATACAGCGGTATATAAGCAAAGTAAATAAATAATAATAAATAAATATTTCAATTTGCCTATACCTTTTCTCAAAAAGAATTCAGCCCCCACCCTCCCCCAATTATCAGATTGAGCAACCTATAGCCTCAAGACACCGGGTTGCAATTTCCACCATTCCTCATCATTGGCTGATTCTTCCACGTGGATCAGCCAGGAATCTCCCATCACATATGTTCTTCTGTCCCATCTGAATGTGCATAGGCTGCAGAATCTGTAGCTGGCATGAGGCACTGGCAGCAGAGTGGGCCTTACACTCAACCATTCCTCTTGTAAGGATGTAAATTCTTGACTGGTTTGTGCACACATGTGAGGATCAATACTTAAAATAGTTTCTCCAAGCAGTTAGAAAAATTGAAAAATTTTCCAAAGTATTCTCCCTGTTTTCTGTTAAGGGCAATTTATTTGGGTTGGGAGGACTTTGTGTGTGTGTGTTCAGAAAGCAGGTCTCCAGCACAGGGAGCAGTATTTTCTGAGCAGGAAACTCAAGTATTTTTCTCCACAGACTAACTCCCACGACACTTTGAGATATTAGAATACTGAGAGGAAGCTGCACAAAATTCTTGATAACCTATTAGACTTCCTAGCAGGGTTTCCCAGCTGCCGGGAAACCAATTTTTTGACCTGAGAATGAATAATGGCACGTTTTCTTTCCATTCCCACATGATTCTTTCAACAGGAACATTCTGCAGTGTTGTGGGGGGGGGGGGGGGGGGGGAGGATTAACACTCTTTGCCCTTAAGAGAAATGCCTCAGAGTATAGCAAATGGGCATTCAGGCTCCTTCCATGAGACTTTGGAATGTATGTTTATCTTCTGTAACCAGAAATGCTCTTGTGATGAAGTCTGGGGCTGTGAGCAGATGGCAGGGTTCCAGAGGTGAGAAATCATTGCAGAAGTGTTAGAGTATATATAACACTGCTAGCATAACAGTTTTGCTCTGCTGTTAACTCACTTTTTTCATATTTCCATAAATAAAAGGGCTAGACACACTTAGCTATTACTTTGAAACAAAATCTAAAAACCCAAGAGCCAAACATCCTTCAGAAGGTGAATCTCACTGTCCAGATAACTGTGGGAAGTATGAGGAATAGATATTGGAGGCAGATGAGAGAGAGAAATGGAATGACGTATTCTGGTTGGCTGGCTAGCAAACTCCCTAAACTGGTCAGAAACATGCAAGTTGCTACACATTGTAGATATCACTGAAGAATGTCTGGATTTCTACATATAGAATTATTTATTTATTTATTTTTATTGTACCTTTCTCAAAGTAGAACAAGGGACTCAAGAGCAGAATGATCAATTTCAACATTGTCTTCCTTGTGACCAACTGTATTTAAATGGCATGTAACATAATTGTATCATTGAGAAGTAGACATCTTCTTGCTTTCAAAGGATACCCTGTATATTTCCATCCTTATTACTGCAACGTCTTATTGCTTTCTGATTTTTGCATGGCTTATAATTATGCCCATAGTCTTATAACGTATGCAATTCAATCAGGAACAGTGGGGATGCTGAAAAGACTCACAGGCACCCATGCAAATATACACTGTCTATCTCCCAATTCTTTTTACAGATAACATATTTTGGAGTAACATAACTCTGCCATGCTACTCACTGCTGCATAACATTAAGGGCAACGCACTGCTGTCTGTTTCCTGAAGCCATCTCTACTTTAGGTTTATTCTTCTCTTCCAACTTAGAACAGAGTAAAAACATCAGGGAATGATGATGTATTTCTTTTGTGTGTTGTGGGTTCAGGAGAAATTGAACATCTAGAAGTTTTCAGTCCCCAAAACAACAGTAGAGAACATCTGGGGCCCCTTCTACACAGTTGAACAAAATTCTACATTATATTAGTTGAACTGGAATATATGACAGTGTGGACTTAGATGACCCAGTTCAAAACAGATATTGTGGGATTTTCTGCTTTGATAGGGCTGAGTGGAAGGGCCCTGGGTAGTTGAGTTAGTGCAGAAGGATTTGGAATAGAGGAAACATTTTTATTATCAGAGTATCGATCTATTTGACATAGTATATCTTGTCACTGCCGAGAGTTTTGGGAAACTGAACCCGGACTTTTCTGCATGCAAAACATGTGCTGTGCGGCTGAGTTATGGCCTCAGATGTTCCTTATCTTTGAATGAACTGGATGTATTATCTGCCAAAATAATCACTGACGAAATAATGGGACTGCATTGATTTTCCTCAGGGAAAGAGTTAAGTAATCCTGTGTCATATATGCCCAGTGCAGTTTATACCTCTTCTAGCTTTGTTATTATTGTTTTGTTTATGCTTATCCCTACTGAGGCCAGATGATATTAACAGCTTCATGCCATCATATAAGTTTCTTTAGTCAGAATATGGAAATTAATCCTCCATCTGCTGCAGGGAGGGGGAGGAAAAAATAAAATCCTTTTTTGTGTGGTTGACTTCATTGTATGAGATATATGTAAGCCGTTTCTGAGAGTTTTCAATACAGCAAGCCATCAATCTAAATAAATTCTTTTTATAGGGAAAATAAGATGACTGCTATAATGGATGGTAGATGGTTGCGAGTAGCATAACCCCTCTACTGTTTTATGTCCCTAAATGAAAAATACCGTGGAAATGTAAGTTGTGTGGCAGTTCCTTCTGCGCTTCATTGAAATAAATGAGGCTTGTGTGGGAGCAGCTCTCTGTGTTACTGTTCCTTTGGAAAGTAAAAGTGAATTGCTTTTTATAATATGGGAATTGCACTGCACACTGCAACCTTTCAGTACTCCAGGGACTTATTAAACCCTGTAATTATACTTGCCCTCAGAAGTGTGAAGTACTGGTAGTTGGAGGAACCTTCTGGAAAGCAACCGCAGCCTGTACTCTTTAATGAGTTTGGATGGTGTAACCTGGCAGGTAGGCAAAATAGCAAAGTTGGATGGTAAAAGCCCTACCTTTCTGGGCTACTTCTGAAGCAGTAGCAAGGCCTTAATGCAGGCCTTCACAACCTGTGACCCTCCAGGTGTTTGGGACTCCAACTCCCAAATACCTGGAGTTTCTCAGCGATGTGAAATGTTTTGAAATCTGATGAGGGTTGTTCCTTCACCGGATGATCAGAAAAGACAGACAGTGCACAAAATTAATGTAAAAAGGGTTTCATCTGCTCACTGATCTGCTAAGGAATCTCCTACCTCTCTGAAGATTTGCGACCTCTGAAGATTTGTCCTAGGACACTGCCGAGATGCAGCCATGATAGAGCCTGGCACAGCCCATCACATGATACAGGGCTACTTCTGGTGAGGCTCCATCCCAGCTTCATTGGGCATTAAATGTTTGCCACTGTCTATTTGATGTGAGCCTCCCTGAGTCCCTTTGGGAGATAAGGTGGGCTATCAATAAAGTTTCATTAATTAATTCATTCACTCATTTGTGCACACTGCAACTCGGCAGTGTGCTACAAGGCAGCACTGAGAACACGTGTGACTACCTGTGTTCTCATAAGCTATGCCAGGGACAGCACAGGACCAAGCTTTGGAAAAGGTGGGAAACCGTGTGGGATGGTAAGGGGGTGATTTGGGGAAATGCCGATGGTTTTCCCAACTCCCCCCCCCCCCCCCCCCCCCCCCCCCCGCCCACAGATTCCCCTGTTGTCCGCTGACCTAGCATTGATCCCTTAAACATCAGACAAGTCAGCCTTGTTGACTGTTTTTGGGTATTTGCAGCACCAGATAATACTCATTTTTATTTTTCTTTCTCCTTAAACTATACAAGTTGTTTGCCCCCTTACAATTACTTTCAATTTTAATTAATTTTTTCTAATGACAATTAGAGGTGTGCATTTTTTGTTAGTCCTTGTAATTGGAGTCAAATTCATTAAATTCGTACTTATGAGACAATATCTGATATATGGATGTGGCCCGCACCAAAAATTTAAGAATCGAAACTTACCCCATACTTTTTTGTTTTCGTTTTGTAAATCTTGGAAGGCTCCCAAAGTCAGTTTCATATTCAGTGCAAGGAAGCAAAGCTGAAAGCAAAGCAAAATGAAAGACTGCCTTAGTTCAGCATTAGTTCACCATTTAACAAAAGGTTTTGGTTCAAAAACAAATTTCTCGGTGTACAACCACTACTTTCAAAGTATGGACTAAACCATTGAACATGAAATAATACTTTCAAACTAGAAACATATCTTATTTATTATTGTAATAATGTTGTTTATAAAAACTTTTAAATTTTCCCAAAAAGCCGTGGATAAGTGAAACGTTCTGAAATTTGGAGGACTAAGAGTGGTAAATGTGTTCTACCACGGTAGCAAGTTTCACATCAATAGCTGTACAAATGAGGGATAAAGAAGCCCATGAATTTTCACCAGTGATAGTACTTATGTGCAATTACTATAACAAAATAGTAACACAATTTTGTTACTCTCGTTATAGTTGTGATTTTTTCATGAACTATACTTTAGAAACACTTTAGAAATGAAACACCAGCACCCCTACATTTTGTAAGGACTTTTGAACCATATTTAATTGATTGTACATTCCTCGTGACTATCCGCTTTATACTTCTAAGACTCTTTGAGCTGATTTTAACTTTTGTCAGGAAGGAATTCTACCAGTCAAGGTATGTTCCCATGTGTGCAGCACTAAATACACTTGGGAATGGTAATTATGAGATGTCTTTTCCTTGGCAAATTTTCCATGCTGTGATGTAATTGTTTTCTAAACTAATGCCTGGATCAGTTGGATTAAATAATGCTATCAGGTAAGGCCGTTGTTAGATAACGTGGTGTGATGCACATGTCTCTTGTCTCTTGTGTATTATTGCAAGGTAGAAGCCAAAAATCTATGTCACCAGAGTGCATCCTGATTGGTACTTTTGGGTCCTTTGGTATCTTTCATCTGATATGTTATTGAATATTGAAAGCTCATCTGATTACACACCTATGCAAAACCATGATGCAATATTATATAATAGTACTTCATGGTTATCTGATAATGCATGCAAAACCAATGTCTCAATCGTGTGAAAATTTAGTAAATAGGTTGTTTGAAGCCAATCTGATTTTCAGTAATTTAAGTAAATGTGTATTCAGGTAAATTAGATAACTCTACAAGGAACATGTTTTTTGATGAAAAAGTCAATCTTACTCAGAAACAAGAGGATGAAGGCTTCAGTCATAGTTTTACAAGGGAGTCAGCTGTCTTGAAGCCAGTGGAACTGACTTTACTTCTAAATAAATAAGTTTAGGATTATGCTGCAAAGCTTCACTCCATGCACATATTACTAGAAGTAAGCCTCTGAACATACTGGGGCTACCTTTGGAGAAGACATGCAAAAAATGAAATATATTACACATAGTAGTTTAGTAGTTACATGTTATACAAAATACTGAAAAAATAGTTTATTGTATCTTTTTTGCTTTGAATTTTCATCTGAATGGCCAACAGAGCAAGGATCTTGAAACAGACATCTCAGGACCCGTTCAGAAAGTACTTTTATCCTAGGAGCTTCTGCAGCAAACAGGAGGGTGGCCAGATGCTGTTCTCTGTAAATGTGGAAGCAATCGCTACAAAAGGCAAAAAAAAAAAAAAAAAAGGGGGGGGGGAGATTTCCAAGTGTGGAAATATTACAGTTTTAAGCCAAATATGCAGATCTTCACATATTACAGTTTTAAGCCAAATATGCAGATCTTCACATGTCTGTATGTCCCTGCAATCGGAAATCCCAAGATTTTTTAAATCTGGGTTTGTTCCTGAGTTTTAGATATTTGTTCCTGATTGGTCGGTTACTTCTACACTTGAGAAAAAGGCAAAAACTTTGTTTGTGTGCCGGAAACTCCATGAAACATGTGGAGGGCACATTTTCTCTGACCAGAACAAAATTGTGGCCCCCAAGTCAATATTGTACATCATTTCACAAGAATAGCAATCTGTTCTTGTGAACAGCCATGTATAACCCAGGAACAACACCCTGTTGTTTGAAGCCACAAGTACAGAACCAAATCTGTCTGGACCAGGCAGCCAGGCTCTAAAAAGTGCCAATAATGGCAAAGTTCTGTTCCTGGCTTGAAAGTGTGTTCCTGTTTGATTGTGCAGTGCTGACTTGGGCAGAAGTGGTCCTGCCCTTTAAACTTTGTTTGTGTGGCAGATACTTCATGAAACGTCTGGAGGACACAGTTTCTCTGACCAGGACAAAGAACTGAACTTTTGCAGTGATTCACTGCAGTGATTCTCCCCACATCCGCATATTTGCATCTTGAGGGGGTTTTTTTAAACCAAAATTTCCGGCAGAAGTGCCATGGCGGCCATCTTCTGAAGTCCCAGGATTTTTTTGCCCCTGTTTAAAACCCATAATTTAGTGCTGTCTGGAAGCGCCCTCAAGCCACATCTACACTGTCATTATCTGCTTTGAACTGGATTTTGTGGCAGTGTAGACTCATGTAATCCAGAACAAAGAAAATAATGTGGGTTATCTGCTTTGATAATCTGGATTATATGGCAATGTAAATACAGCCTTAGAAGGAGATTCTTATCCAACTGAGCTTTCTTGATACAGATCTTTAGGCAAGCTGCAAACTTCTTTTGTCAAAAGTAGCACTGGTAGAGTAATACAGGTGTTGTTTTAGCAGAGCAAATGGCAATTAACAATGTTTTATTCCTCAAAGCCAGTATGCAGTATGAAGACATGGACAGAATAGTCCTAAGGTGGAAACAATAAAAAGAGTGGTCTAATTTGAAGACAGAGATGAAATCAGCCATGCAGGTCATAGATTTAGTGTGCATTAGGGAGACCTGAAAGTATGCATCAGGCAGCTCCATGCAGTCAGAATGCCTGAATATGGCAACTAACTGCATGTTTACATAGAACAGAGAATCATCTCACAAAGAATTCCTAAGAATCACACATTTCAAAGGTAAACATCCTTCAAATTGACCTTACTTGGAATAACACTAGGGAATGATAGTGGGATCAAAGGATCTGAGCTAAACCGATGGAAAATGCACACCTCTTATGTGGGATGTTAACTATAGTGACAGAATTACAAGGTCTGTTAATACTCTATAAATGTCTAGGTTTTTAAAAAATGCAAATGTGAATTCTGTGCAAGAAAAACAGAGTTTCTTGGACTAAATTAATTAAAATGCATTATATAGAGAAAGGCACATGGTGGAACAAAAAGTATTTCCGGTGTATATTTTTAAATGTACCACACAGTTGATGGATTTGCTTTTGAAAGATTGTTGAATTACAGACATCTCACCCTTTACTGACTGCTTGTGTAACATATACAGTAGAGTCTCGCTTATCCAACCTTCGCTCCTCCAATGTTCTGTATTATCCAACACAGTCTGCCTTCCGCCCAGATCCACAGCTGTTTCAATACATTGCAATGTTTTAGTGCTAAATTCGTAAATACAGTAATTACTATATAACGTTACAGTGTATTGAACTGCTTTTTATATCAGTTTGTTGTAAAATATGATGTTTTTGTGCTTAATTTGTAAAATCATAACGTAATTTGACATTTCATAGACTTTTCCTTAATCCCTCCTTACGATCCAACATTCTGCCAACCCGTTTATGTCGGATAAGTGAGACTCTATTGTATGTCAAAAAAACTCACTAGCTGCACACAGCATTAAGAGTTCTGCATGTGGAACTCTGCTCCAACTCCTCACCACCAGGCCAGGACTCACTGGGTTGCTGCAACAGGTATCTCCCAATGGATATTTTGTAGCTGGTGGAAAGCTGGCTGAGGATATGTTCTGCCAAGATCTAAAGAGATCCTCTGGAGGCCGCAAATGATATCATCAGTCTGCATCTAGCTATGGCAACTTTCTTGTTGTCTGCTTTCCAAATGCAAGGAATGTGGTAGAGGTGGCGTCAGCTATTGCAGCAACATGGTAAGTCCTAGGAAGACTTCCATCTTTAAGAAAAGAGGAAGGGAATGGCAAGCTCTACAACAGTCTTTCTCCACCTTGGGGTCACGACCCCAGGGGGGTTGTCAGGGGTGTCAAAGGGATCACCAAATACCATCAGAAAACAGTCTTTTCTGTTGGTCATGGGGGTTCTGTGTGAGAAGTTTGGCCCAATTCTGTTGTTGGTGGTGTTCAGAATGCTCTTTGATTGTAGGTAAACTATAAATCCCAACAACTACAATTCCCAAATATCAAGGACTATTTTCCCCAAACTACACCAGTGTTCACATTTGGGCATATTAAGTATCCGTGCCAAGTTTGGTCCAGATCCATCATTGTTTGAGTCAATTGTGCTCTCTGGATGAAGGTGAACTACAACTCCAGAACTCAAGGTCAGTGCCCACCAAACCCTTCCAGTATTTTCTGTTAGTCATGGGAGTTCTGTGTGCCAAGTTTGGTTCAATTCCATCATTGATGGAGTTCAGAATGCTCTTTGATTATAGGTAAACTATAAATCCCAGCAACTATAACTCCCAAATCACAAAATCAATTCCCCACCCATCCCCTTCACCTCACTAGTATTCAAATTTGGGTGTATCGGATATTTGTGCCAAATTTGGTCCAGTGAATGAAAATACATCCTGCACGTCAGATATTTACATTACAATTCATAACAGTAGCAAAATTCCAGTTATGAAGTAGCAACAAAAATAATTTTATGGTTGGGGGTCACTACAACTTGACGAACTGTACTAAGGGGTGATTAGCCAGGTTGAGAAATACTGCTGTACAACATCCAATAAAATACAGAAGTGTGAGATGGAATTATATTGGTATATCGCTAACAGGATGGCGCTGACCACTCTATTGAATCTCTGAAATCTTCTGAAGCCCCACTTAGTAATGGAGCCAGACTCGTCTTGCAGTAATTTTTAGAGTTTTTGTTCTTCCTCCTTTTTGTTCTTTATATCTGTTTTAAACAACAATGTTATTTAGTTTGCATGCTGAAAATTTGGCAAAATTTATAACAGAAACAAAAGACAAATCAAATCCTTTTCATGATAATATTTTCAGTGAGAGTCCACAGTATGTCACTTTAGGTAGAACTGAAAATTGATTTATCTAACCTGTTAATATTAAATATTAACAAAATATATCTGTTAGGGAATATATCACACACATAAGCCACTAGGATCTTTCCTCCTTCATTATTCACACTTGCTGTGCAGAAGACGGAGCTGCTGACCGCCCCCCCCCCCCCCCCCCAATCGCCAGTGGATGAACCCCTGGACGTCCCAGCTGCAGCATCCCAGGGTCTCCCTCCCTCGCTCCGCCCCCCCCCCCCTTCCTTCCTATTCAGATCCCAAACCTAGGAAAGTGATTCCTTTTTTCCTCGGTGCCTTCCAGCCCCTTTTGGCTGGATTTTTTTCAAGCACAGGATTTAAACCTCCAACCTTCCTGGTGCCCATAAATAAAAATGCCCATCCATAGATGTAGGGCAGACAATGGCATTTCAAGGAGGATGCCTTTCCTATAGACCCCAGCTGCCCCTTGGAAGAACCCCCACCCACCTTTGGGCATGTTATATATATGTGTGTGTATGTGTGTATGTTTGTGTATATATGTATATATATTAAGGGGCTATAAATGTGTATGTGTGTGTGTGAATGGGGGAACCTATAAATGTGTGTGTATCTATGTGTGTGTGAATGGCAGAACCTATACATGTGTGTATATTTTCTGTGTGTGTGTGTGTGTGTGTGTGTATGAGGGGGCTATAAATGTGTGTATCTATGTGTGTGTGTCTGAACGGGGGAACCTATAAACGTGTGTGTATATCTTCTGTATATGTGTATGTCTATGTATGTGTGTATGTATGTATGTTTGTGTATATATGTGTGTGAATATGAGGGGGCTATAAATGTGTATGTGTGCGTGTGAATGGGGGGATCTATAAATGTGTGTGCATATCTTCTGCATCGGTGTGTGTGTGTGTGTGTATGAAGGACCCATGAGCGCGTGGCCTGGGGTGTGCGCCTACGTCAGACACCTAGATCCTCGCGCGCCCCTCTCCCGCAGACCACCGCCTCCCACCGCGTGCACTGTGACGTCACAGAGGCTCTGCCTGCCCCTCCCCTCCCCATTCCTCCGGCGCCTACCAATGGAGCCCGTAGGCAGGCAGGCAGGCAGCAGGGCAGAGGCAGGCGGTTGCCAACTTTCAAACAATGCTTGGTGTCGGGGCTCCTCCCCGGCTGGGCGGGAAAGAGGCGGGCTGGGCCCTTGGGGAGGGCAGCTCGTGGCGGAGGCTCCTCCCCGTCCTCCCTCGCCTCCTGTTGCCGGGGCTGCTTCAGTGCTGGTCCGGGCTGCGCTCCGCGAGGAGGGGGGTGTCCGTGAGGAGAAGGAGGAGGGGGACGAGAGCCGAGGCAGCGGAGAGGGAGGCGCACGCGCCGGGCCCCCGCCCCGCCCCGCCCCTGCCCGCCTGCCCCCGTCCATGGCCCGGATCCCGTGAGCGGCGGCGGCGGAGGAGGAGGAGGAGGACGAGCAGCAGCGGGAGCAGCAACAGGAGGAGGACGGAGGGATGGGCAACACGGCGCACAAGACCCTGGCAGGTAAGCGGGCGCTTCTCTGCGCCTTGCTTCGTGGAGCCGCCTTCTCCCGCTTGGGCATGCGGTGGGGGACCCAGGGGAGCCCTTTCCCTCTCGCGGAGGGCGGCGCCCTCTCCTTCCCCCGTCGTGTCACCAAGGGCGGGTTAGGGGGGCAAGGAGAGACCCTCCCCCCCTCCTCCCTTTTCCTGTGGCCCCCTCCCGGGCGAGGCTTCCCTTGGCTCCTTTGGCAAGGGTCTGCATCGCTCCGGCGTCTCGTTCCGGGCTTCCCTCGGAGAGAGATGGGGAGCCTCTGGGCTGCATGGTCCCGCCTCTCCTCAGGGCGAGAGGCTGGCTGAATAGGCAGGCATCGCGGGCAGCAGGGGTGCCTTCCTTCCTTCCCTCTCACCCGAGGATGTTGGAATGTGCCCCCACCTTTGGATCCCCCTTCCCGGAACCTCATGCATTTAGCACATCTCGTCCAGCCCTCTGCCAGGAAGCGCCCGAGATGTTCTTTGACAGCCGGTGATCCCCCTGATAGTCATGGTCCGTGCACGCCTATAGAATCCTAGGCTTGGAAGAGACCTCGTGGGCCATTTAGTCCAACCCCCTGTCAAGAAGCAGGAAAATCGCATTCAAAGCACCCCCAACAGATGGCCCTCCAGCCTCTGCTTAAAAGCCTCCACCACACTCCGCGGCAAGGAGTTCCATTGCTGAACAGCTCTCACAGTCAGGAAATTCTTCCTCATGTTCAGGTGGAATCTCCTTTACTCCGGTTTGAAGCCATTGCTGCGCGTCCTAGTCTCCAGGGCAGCAGAAAACAAGCTCGCTCCCCCCTCCCTAGGGTTACGGTAAATGTTTCGGGCTGTATGGCCATGTTCCAGAAGCATTCTCTCCTGACGTTACGCCTGCATCTATGGCGGGCATCCTCAGGGGTTGTGACGACCTCACAACCTCTGAGGATGTCTGCCATAGATACAGGATGGTCATCTGTCGGGGGTGCTTTGAATGCGAATCCTCAGAGGTAGTGAGGACCTCACAACCTCTGAGAATGCCTGCCATAGATGCAGGCAAAATGTCAGGAGAGAATGCTTCTGGAACATGGCCATACAGCTCGAAAAACTTACAGCAACCCAGTGATTCTGACTATGAAAGCCTTCGACGATACATCCCCCTCACATATTTATACATGGTCCTCATCATGTCTCCTCTCAGCCTTCTCTTCTGCAGGCTAAACATGCCCAGCTCTTTAAGCCGCTCCTCATTGGGGTTATTCTCCAGACCCTTGATCATTTTAGAATCAGAGTTGAAAGAGACCTCGTAGGCCATCCAGTCCCAGCCCCTGCCAAGAAGCAGGAAAATTGCATTCAAAGCACCCCGGGCAGATGTCCACCCAGTCCCTGCTTCCCACTGGGTTGCTGGTTGAAAGGCCAAAACGGGCGCGAGGTGTTCCCAAGAGATCCCAGACAGGCAATCCTCTGCCCGGTTTCTTTGGTGTTTGCTCCTGGACCTCAGGAAGGGGGCGTGGCCACAGCCCGCAGAGCAGAGCATGCTTGGCATGCATCAGATTCCAGGTCCAGCCTCCAGCATTTCTCATGGAAGCCTTCTCCGGTTGCAGCAGCAGCAGCAGCATCAGGGCAGGAGGGATCCCCATGCCAGAGATTGTCAACATCCCTGATAGGTCCAAAGAGACAGTGCTGAGCAGGAAGGATGGGCCCCGGTATAAAGGAAGGATCTTATTTTTATCTGAAAGGGATCAGGAGAAGTGTTTGTCTCCCACGTCATACAGTCTAAATCAGGCATGGGCCAACTTGGGCCCTCCAGGTGTTTTGGGCTTCAACTCTCACTATTCCTAACAGCCTCAGGCACTTTCCTTTCCCCCCTCAACCACTTAAGCAGCTGAGGGGGGAAAGGAAGGGGCCTGAGGCTGTTAGGAATGGTGGGAGTTGAAGTCCAAAACACCTGGAGGGCCCAAGTTGGCCCATGCGTAATCTCAATCATATATAGAATGCTTACCAAACACCAAGTGCTTCTCAAAGGCTATGTCTCTGTCTGCTTACTTGGAAATAAGGTCCCGAGGAAGTGTCAGGGCTTCCTTCCAAATCTGGAATTGGGGTGAGAAAAAACTTCAGCAAGCATTGGTTGAGGTGTGAAAAGTATTCTGGCCCATTTCATTTTTGAGGACTGCGATTGACAAATTCGACATGCATGCCATGCTGGTCTTGGTGCTTTTGTTCACTGGCCAGGTGAGATGCCAGCCGCACAAAAAATACTCTTATTTCCAAGGTGGATCATTTTCCAGGGAAAGGTTATCTCCTTCCTTCCTTGCTGTTTTGTTTTTTGAAGGCATTGTACGCTCTTTGAAATTCAGGGGCTTTCAGTGTGGGAGATGCACTGAATTGGAACAATCCTGAAATGAAACTTCGGTTGTATCTTGATTCTTTTGGAAGCATCACAAAGGAAGGCAAAACCGGTGTTTCTGACTGGGGTGAAAAAAAGCCATAAATGCATCTGAATTGGACAGATACTGCTCTCAATTGTGAAGTGTGTTTATTTAAAAAACAAAACAAAACAACCTTTTAATGACTTTGTATGTATTTTTGTCTCAGTAGCTCAACAGTTGAAAACAAAAAAACGTTGAAAGCACGTTTGAAATGAGTTCTGTTTTGATTTGAAAGAAAGGTTCCCTCCCTCGTGCCCTCCCTCCCAGCTCCAGTCGCCCAGCCGGTATTGTTCTCGTGTTGTGGAGAGCGAAAGGGCTCCTTTTTTCCTCCTGCAAGGCTATAATAGGGACTGGCTGTTCATCCCTGTTGTCAGTGCTCAGTGGGCACCAAGAACAGTTGTTTGATGAAGAATGAAGAATATTGAATTGCTTCTTTGAGCTTCTGCAAGCCTGTCTTCAGCTGTCTACCTCCTTCTCCCACACTTTCTTTCCTCCTTTCCTTTTGGGCAGGCTTATATGTCATATTTAGTATATATTGTTAAAGGCTTTCATGGCTGGAGTCATTGGGTTGTTGTAGGTTTTTTTTGGGCTGTACGGCCATGTTCTAGAAGCATTCTCTCCTGATGTTTCGCCTGCATCTATAGCAGGCATCCTCAGAGGTAGTGAGGTCTGTGCCCTCACAACCTCTGAGGATGCCTGCCATAGATGCAGGCAAAACATCAGAACAGAATGCTTCTAGAACATGGCCATACAGCCCAAAAAACCTTCAACAACCCATATTTAGTATGTTTGGCAGGCTCACAAAAGCAGCAAACACATTTCTCCAAACTGCGTCGGCTACATAGTTCTCAAGCTCCCTTGTGATTTGGGGTGAGGAGAAGAGGCCCTGACCCCTTGATTTTTCTCCTTAGTATGACAAAATCATTTTATGAGATCTGGCTCCTTCTAGCTGGAGTGAAAGGATTATACTTTGCTTCATTTCTCTTGATTCCTTGGCTTTACTCAGCATTGAGCTCCCTTTGTCAGCTCCAGTTCCCCATACAGGGACATATGAGAAGCCTCCCAGAAGGATGGTAAAACATCAAAACATCTGGGCGTCCCCTGGGCAACTTCCTTGCAGACAGCAAATTCTCCCACACCAGAAGCAACTTGCAGTTTTTCAAGTTGCTCCTGACACAAAAAAAACTCAGCATTTTAATTCATGTTAATTTTCTTTTTTTTAAGGATTGGGATGAGATATATATCTATATTAATATAACATAATTTGTCAGACAATATTTAGTTTTGTGGAGAAGGTGTTACTGGAGGCAGTTTATAGATATAAGTAATTGGGCACCCAAAGGGAGCCGTGGTGGCACAATGGCTTAAACCCTTGTGCCTGCTGACCGGAAGGTTGGCAGTTCGAATCCGCGAAGCGGGATGAACTCCCATCTGTCAGCTCCAGTTTCCCATGTGGGGACGTGAGAGAAACCTCCCACAGGATGGTAACACATCCGGGCATCCCCTGGACAATGTCTCTGCAGACAGCCAATTACCATAAAAATAACCCTATAGGGTACTTTAGAGTCTTACATTTAAACTTTAAGATCAGCTCGTAATCTCGAGGTTCATACAGCACCTCAAAAGAAAGGAGCTTTTCTTTCAAAACCTTACTTCTTGCTGCAGCCAAACCACTGGCTTATTTGGATCTTGGATTTAGGCACAGTTTGTGCCAGTTTCTTTTTCTGGGTACAGCCTAACTCACAGGGTTGTTGTTCAAAGCAAATATTGTGGGATTTTCTGTCTTGATATTCTGGGATATAGGGCTGTGTGGAAAGGCCCAGAATGGATCCTAGAATAGTGCATACCTCCTTAGAAGAAAGGCAAGGGATGCATGTGTGTTGTGCATATTTATATTCTTGGTATACATAGTGTCAAAAATGATTTATTTCCACCTTATCCTACAGAGTGTAGTGCCCTAGAAACCTTAGGTGAAATCTGTTATTTAGATAGTTCCAACCAATATGCCCAGTTAAATGCGCAATTCCAGAGGTTAGCCAGAAGAGATAAGGAACTATTTTTAAATAAGCAATGCATGGAAGTGGAAGAAGACAACAGAATAGGAAGGACAAGAGACCTCTTCCAGAAAATTAGAAACATTGGAGGTAAATTTCAGGCAAAAATTGGTATGATAAGAAACAAAGATGGCAGGGACCTAACAGAAGCTGAAGAGATCAAGAGAAGGTGGCGAGACTATACAGAAGATCTGTATAGGAAGGATAATAATATCGAGGATAGTTTTGACTGGTGTGGTGAATGAATTAGAACCAGACATCCTGAGGAGTGAGGTTGAATGGGCCTTAAGAAGCATTGCTATCAACAAGGCAGCAGGAGACGACGGGATCCCAGCTGAACTGTTTAAAATCTTGAAAGATGATGCTGTCAAGGTGATGCATGCCATATGCCAGCAAATATGGAAAACACAAGAATGGCCATCAGACTGGAAAAAATCAACTTATATCCCCATACCAAAAAACGGAAATGCGAAAGACTGCTCCAACTTCCGTACAGTGGCCCTTATTTCTCATGCCAGTAAGGTAATGCTCAAGATCCTGCAAGGAAGACTCCAGCAATACATGGAGCGAGAGTTGCCAGATGTTCAA